CGGGGGTGGTTGGGGCTCGCCTGTAATGCGAATAGTAATCCAATTTCCGTCGCTTTAATAGAAATTGCTTTGAGGATTATATAATTTTTCCAGATTTAAGAGCCGCGCCAGGTTTTACCCTCGATCACGCAAATTTACCTTCGATCCCGTGATCAGAAACAATTTTCCTTCGATTTAAAAAAAAAACTTGCAAAATTTCGAAAAAATTCGAATTTTCCTCGCGAGAAGAAATTTTATACGTGTCTTTATGTATAAAAGAAGAAATCTTCGAAACTTTGGTCGAAAAACTAAGATTATTTATTATAAGATATTTTTAGTAAAAAAGAATGGAGACTATATATAATTAAAATTTGATAAGAAATTTCGAAAAAATTCGAATTTTCCTCTCGAGAAGAAATTCCATACGTGTCTTTACGTATAAAAGAAGAAATCCTCGAAACTTTGGCCAAAAAGATTATTTATTATAAGATATTTTTAGTAAAAAAGAATAGAGACTGTATATAATTAAAATCCCATAGAAAATTTCGAAAAAATTCGAATTTTCCTCTCGAGAAGAAATTCCATACATATAAAAGAAGAAATCCTCGAAACTTTGGCCGAAAAACTAAGATTATTTATTATAAGATATTTTTAGTAAGAAAAAATAGAGACTGTATATAATTAAAATTTGATAAAAAATTTCCTAAAAATTCCATACGTGTCTTTACGTATAAAAGAAGAAATCTTCGAAACTTTGGTCGAAAAGATTATTTATTATAAGATATTTTTAATAAAAAAGAATGGAGACTGTATATAATTAAAGTGATAAAAAAAAGAAAAAGGAGGGGGATCTTGAACGGTTCCTCGAGCAACCCTTATTCTAATATGAGCCAACGAGATTATATCGGGTCAAACCGATATATTCTTCCCTTCTTTATTTTCCTTTCCTTTATCTGTCTATCACGGATTTTTCAAAGGCTCGTTGAGGAATTAATCGATAAAACGATTCTCCGTAAAAATTCATCCATTCGAAAAATAACTTTCTCGAACTCGGCCCTCAAATCGATCCAAACCTTCTCCTCAAACCCGGATTCTACTCGCCAACAATACATGAAACGGTTAAGAAAATTTCTTTTTGCAAAGAAAAGAAAAGAAAAGAGAAGAAGAAGAAGAAGAAACTTCTTACGGCTTCCGTATCGAAGTATATCGAAGGATTTTCGCGTTTCATAACGCGCTTTTCAATGCCGTGGAAATTCTTTGCTCAAGGTGAACGATGAACGAGAGAAATCGCTCCTCGAGAAAATCCTCCACTGTGTATTTGTTACGCGCTTACCCCCGTGACTTCTCACAGTTGAATCCGTTTCCGATTTCGACCTCTTCCACTGTTTCTATCATTGCACGTTTTGTTCAAACCACAAAATTATTCGATTTTTTTGATTTTTCTTCGATATCGATCGAGTAATTTTTCTTTACACTTTTTAATTTTAATACACGATAATTGGATTCATTCGGTCTTGTCTTAAATAGTTTTAAATATCTGCGTTGATTTTGTTGTAATTTTATATATATATATATATATATTTTTTAATTATCGATGGATTCGTTTATTCAATTCTAGATTGGAATTAAAATTGATTCAATATTATTGATAAGTTATATAACTTTATTGATAATATAATGATATTTTTTATTGATAATATAATTGATAACTTTATCGATAAAGTTAATTTTCTTAGTATGTCAAATCTGATTCGAATTATTACGTTATTTAACTTAAATCTTAAGGTTTGAAATAATTGTTAAACACGTTTCAACAGAATTTAGAATTGTTTAAATTAAAATTAAGGAGATGCTTTGAGATTCTTTTTTTTTTTTTTTTTTTTTAATTTATTCAACGTTCAAGTTCTGTTTTTAATATCGATATAGCTCGAGAGAGTCATCTCAAAAAGAAAAAAGTGCCATCAATACATGTATATGCTTTCATCCCCTCCTTTCGAATCAATTCATCGAGTTCAAAAAATCAAACACTCGAACCATCCGAAGTATCGACCTAAAAAAAAAGAAAAATTTATCAGAATAGAATAACCAATAACGTTAGAGAGAGATGCAGAAAAGATAAAATTAATAAATTAAATGAATTTGTATATGGGATTTCGTTCCAAAAAAAAAAAAAAAAAAAAAGATAATCGAAATTTCTCATAAATTTTTAATTGTACCCTCGAACGAAGAAAATCGTCCAATTAGAAGATTGAAATAAATAGATTGACATTAAAAATACTTTTTAAGGGGGAAATCTTGGCAGAATTCCCACCCGTATTCTCGTTTCGTTTCTTTTCTTACAGATAGATTTTCTACCAGCGAAAAAAACATTTTTCTCGATTTTATATTTTATTAAGATCACATACGATAAACAAATAAATAAATATATAAACATAACATATAAATAAAAATATTCGATAAGAAAAGAATAAATTAATTTCTAAAGTAAACAAAAGCGTTTAAATTACATTTTACATTACATTGAAAAAAAAAAAAAAAAAATTCGTCTTCATAGATTCAACTCCATAAAAATTTTTCTCTTCTCGAGATATACCACTCGATGATATCCGGAGGAGAAAAAAAAAAAAAGGAGACGGCCTAAGAATTTCACCCGCGGCGCGATTATGCATTCGTAGACTCTGATCTTTCACGAGGACCATGGAGAACCAACCCTCTTTCCCTCCCCCTCCCCCCCTTCCCCGGGCAAAAGTGTTTCGTCCACAATGATACGACGCAGAAATCATTCGGAGATGAAAAATGGACGGCCGAGAGAGAGGCGGCCTCTTCACTTTGCCACACACTCTTTCTCTCTCTCTCTTTCGCTCGCTCGCTCGCTCTCTCTCTCTCTCTTTTTCGCTCGCTCGCTCTCGCTCTCTCTCTTTTTCGCTCGCTCGTTCGCTCGCTCTCTCTCTTTCACTCGCTCGTTCGCTCGCTCTCATTCTCTCTCTTTCGCTCGCTCGCTCGCTCTCGCTCTCTCTCTCGCACGCTCGCCTTAACGGATACCGAGTCCCTGTGACACAGTTTCGCACAATAGAACAGTCCACCGTTTTCACTCCCTGATCCACACCCCTTCCCTCCGCCATTCTTCCTCCCCGTCTTAAAGGCCCACACCCCCCTCCTCCTTCACCCGACGCTCATTTTTAATCGTCCTTGCCCTTCGCGCAGCCCGCCGATCTCGTCGATGTATTAAACATTGGAAAAGAGGGGGGACGGAAGGAGAGAGAAAGAGAAGGAAATTTAATTGGATAACGAGGGAGAAAGGTGGAAGATTGGGGATGGAA